GATCCTTCCACTTCCGATGGCAGCAGGTGCCTGGCACAGCTTTGCCCAGCACCCCGCCGTGGCCAACACCCGAGTCTCACCTGCTTCTTTACCCATTTTCCCCCCTCCAGAGCAGCTGCCAAGACCTATGTGAAGCCTCCCTCACTGGCCAACTTGGACAAGGTCAACTCCAACAGCCTAGATTTGCCCTCCTCCAGCGAGCTGCAGCCCCCCCACACTGCCAAGCTCCAAGACCTGCACCCGGCCGGCGGGCACCTCGCGCCCTGCTCCAGCCCCAGTCCTGCCCCCATCCTCAACATCAACTCGGCCAGCTTCTCCCAGGGCCTGGAGCTCATGGGTGGCTTCAGCGTCCCCAAGGAGGGCAGGATGTACCCCAAGCTCTCAGGCCTGCACCGCAGCATGGAGTCCCTGCAGATGCCCATGAGCCTGCCCAGTGCCTTTTCGGGGGGCAGCACCACCACTCCAACACCTGCTGCCGCACCCCCAGCCAGCACGGAGGAGGAGGAAGAGGCAGGGGAGCTGGGCTGGAGCGGGAGCCCCCGTCTTGCACATCTGGACAGGTATGGCTGGAGGGAGGGCATGGGGCTGCTGGGACATCTCCGCGGGCTCAGGTCCCTCCCTGCCATCCTGCCATGACCCTCGGAGGCTCTTACTGCTACATTTCTAGGGAAAACCTCCCTGTCCCCACAGCTCAACCCACATGGCACCTTCCCTCATCTGTGCAGGGATGTCACTGATTTTTGCTTCCTTTCCAGTGCCAACCGCGACAGGAACACGCTGCCCAAGAAAGGGTTGAGGTAAAAGAGTCCGAATTGCTTTTGGATGGCGCTATGGAGGGTGGGTGGGCATGTGGTGCTTTCTGCAGGGGGCTGGCGGTGCGCCAAGCTCCAAGACCTGCACCCGGCCGGCGGGCACCTCGCGCCCTGCTTCAGCCCCAGTCCTGCCCCCATCCTCAACATCAACTCGGCCAGCTTCTCCCAGGGCCTGGAGCTCATGGGTGGCTTCAGCGTCCCCAAGGAGGGCAGGATGTACCCCAAGCTCTCAGGCCTGCACCGCAGCATGGAGTCCCTGCAGATGCCCATGAGCCTGCCCAGTGCCTTTTCGGGGGGCAGCACCACCACTCCAACCCCTGCTGCCGCACCCCCAGCCAGCACGGAGGAGGAGGAAGAGGCAGGGGAGCTGGGCTGGAGCGGGAGCCCCCGTCTTGCACATCTGGACAGGTATGGCTGGAGGGAGGGCATGGGGCTGCTGGGACATCTCCGCGGGCTCAGGTCCCTCCCTGCCATCCTGCCATGACCCTCGGAGGCTCTTACTGCTACATTTCTAGGGAAAACCTCCCTGTCCCCACAGCTCAACCCACATGGCACCTTCCCTCATCTGTGCAGGGATGTCACTGATTTTTGCTTCCTTTCCAGTGCCAACCGCGACAGGAACACGCTGCCCAAGAAAGGGTTGAGGTAAAAGAGTCCGAATTGCTTTTGGATGGCGCTATGGAGGGTGGGTGGGCATGTGGTGCTTTCTGCAGGGGGCTGGCAGTGCCCTCCATGCTGGGGAGGCTGGGCTGCGGGGCAGCAGGTGGCAGCCAGGTTGGTGCTGGTCCACCTCACCATGCCGGTCTCTGCTCCGCTCCTCAGGTACCAGCTCCACTCCCAGGAGGAGGCCAAGGAGCGGCGCCATTCGCATGCCATCAGCAGCGGGCTCCCCGAGTCGGACGACCAGCAGGAGCTGCCCTCGCCCCCCACCCTCCCCATGGCACTGGTCGGGAAGGGTCCGCTCACCAGCATCGGTCAGTGCCCTCCACCGCCAGCCCCCTTCCGCTTGCGGCAGCCCCTGTCCCTCCTGCCCCCCATCACCCCATGCTCCCCGTGTGACTTGCTGATGCTGCCCTGCCGTGCTGCTTTTCCTCTCGACACCCCCAGCAGCCCTAACACCCAGTGCCTGGTGCTTTTGGCCCACTGAGGTACTGGGTTGTGCCCAGGGGCCAGGGATGTCCATCAGCTCCACTCAGGGTGTCTCATCCATCCTCAAGGCTCTGCCTGTGGCTCCCTGCTCCTCTGGGGGTGCCCAGCAGGGCAAGGGGTGAGCCCTGCGATGCTCTTGCCAGGACCTACGTGTTCCTTGAGGGTTTGGGGGGTCCAAGCAGATGGATTGGGGCTGCCAGGTGGGGACAGTGTGTGATGAGGTCCTTCCCTCCTGCACCCACAGGTGACGGGCTCTGGCATGGTGGTTCCCACTTTGTCCCGGAGCGATGGATTTATTTCTCAGCCCTGTGGCTACTTTGAAGCTGGTGTCCAGATCTTCCCAGTGTAAATCTGTTTTAGCTTTTCCCAGTCCTCCCCCTGCTTTGGGACCATCATCCTTGCTTCCACTCTGCATCCCAGTTCTCGTGGCTCACTCCCAGACCTGCTTCGCCATCCTGATCCCTGGTCCCCGGCGTGACTGACCCTGCTTCTCCCCTGCCTTCTCCTTGCAGTGAGCCCCACTGCCGCCGCAACCCCACGGATCACCCGCTCCAACAGCATCCCCACCCACGACTCCACCTTCGAGCTGTACAGCACGTCCCAGATGGGCAGCACCCTCTCGCTGGCCGACAAGCCCAAGGGCATGATCCGCTCGGGCTCCTTCCGGGACCCTGTGGACGATGGTGAGAGTGTGCTGCGCTCCTGCCCAGGCAAATAAGGTTCTCAGGGCCGGGGGCTGCAATGGAACTCCCCACACAGTTGTCCCTTCCTTCTGGCGCTGCTGCGGCTTTGTCGAATGGGTTGGTGCATCCCATCCTCAGCATCAGAGCATGGCACAGCAGCCCTGAGGGGACCCCCCCTATGCTGGTGTATGCTCTGAGCCACAGCCCCCCCTGGCCCCCTTGGGTGCCCAGTGTCCCTGTGTTGGCCCCAGGAGGTTGTGGCACTGTGAAGGGGGAAACCAAGCAACCAGAGAGGGTGGCAGAGCCCCCGGGCTCAGCCAGAGAGGAGGGTGCAGGCGGAGGGTGCTCCCCACCCCTTGCTGCACCCCACATGCCCAGGGAGGTCACCAGCCACACGCCAAGAAATGAGCAGTGCTGAGCAGCTGCCCTCCCACCCTCTGCCTCCCCTGATTCCCCGCAGAGACCACTGCACTGGGACCTCCATACCCTGCACCCTGCTATGCCCTGCACCTGCAGCGCCTGGGGATGCCACTGGCTGGGGGCACCCTGACATGCTGGGTTTTATTCTGTTGCAGTTCATGGATCGGTGCTGTCCCTGGCCTCGAGCGCGTCCTCCACCTACTCCTCCGTAAGAGCCGCCTTCGTGCTGCGCCGCTTTGTGCATGGCTGGGGGGGCCTGAGTGGGAATGGGGGGGCTCTGTGCATGCCTCTGCCTTGCGCCGAGCCTGTCTGTGCCTCGCTGCCTTCCTGACTGCCTGCCTCTGTCTGTCTGTCTCTCTCTGCTCTCGTGCTACCAGGCTGAGGAGAAGATGCAGTCTGAGGTGAGCCCGCACCTTCTCTGCTCGTCGCCTGCTCCTGCCACCATGGCGAGGGTGAGTACTTGGCCCCTCTCACTCCCTCTGCTCTCTCCCCATAGCAAATCCGCAAGCTGCGCCGCGAGCTGGAGTCCTCACAGGAGAAGGTGGCCACCCTGACGTCCCAGCTGTCTGCTAATGTGAGTCCCTGCAGGAGCCACTGCCCGCTGAAGGACACGCTGCTCTGTGTCCCTGCCGTGCGTGGAGCTGGTGCTGGTCTGTGCCCACGAGAGCCTTGATTTCCCCTCCAGGCTCTTGCATCCCACACCTGGCAGCGGGTGCTCACCCAGCCATGGGTGCTTGCCCAGGCATGGGTGCTCACCCGTTTCTCCATCTCTCCCAGGCCAACCTGGTGGCAGCGTTTGAGCAGAGCCTGGTGAGCATGACATCCCGCCTGCGGCACTTGGCTGAGACTGCTGAGGAGAAGGTGGGCACTTTTGGGGTGCTGAGCAGGCATTGGGCGTCACTGGTGGTGTGGGATGGTGCTCATTGGGCTGGGGGATGTGGGACCGGGGTGAACCTGCCGCGGCACTGCCTGCCCCAAGGGTGCTGTCGGGGTGGGCTCTGTGCCATCAGAACGCACTCTACAGCTCCTGGCTCTGCTCCTCCAGGACACAGAGCTGTTGGACCTGCGAGAGACCATTGACTTCCTGAAGAAGAAGAACTCGGAGGCCCAAGCTGTGATCCAGGGTGCCCTGAATGGCACTGATGTCACCCCCAAAGGTAAGGCATGGTCATGCAGTCCCCCACCACAGGGATGTAGCCCTTCCTGAGCTGCTCCCCCAAACCCAGCTGGGCCACTCCTGCCCGGGGCTGGCACAGGGCCCCAGGGCACACCTCACATGTGCTTTCTGGTGCTGCTGAGGCACTGTGGAATGGGTTGGTGCATCCTGTCCTCAGCATCAGAGCAGGGCACAGCAGCCCTGAGTGGCCTGGTGGACCCTTCTGTCCCGGTCTATGCTCTGGGCCACAGTCCCCCCCCGACCCCTGTGGGTGCCCAGTGTCCCTGTGTTGGCCCCAGGAGGTTGTGGCATTGGGGAAGGGGAAAACCAAGCAACCAGAGAGGGTGGCAGAGGCCCTGGGCTCAGACAGAGAAGAGGGTGAGGTGTTGACATGGGAGGCATGGTTCCCCGGGCAGCAGCTCTTCCCCACCTGGGACCCCTGAGCATCTGAAGCCAGGGTCGGACAGGCAGAGCTGTCACTGCAGGAGGTCTCAGCACTGGTGCCTGGGAGTGATGGGATGGTCATCCTCCCTGGGACACCTCCTCACTGGACCTTTTGTGGACAGCCTGGTTTTGGCTGCTGATCTTGGCTTTGTTCCCATGAGGGCTGTTTCTAGCCCCGAAACCCCAATGTGAGTGCAAGGCACTGGCTGGGAGGTGGCCTGGGACAGAAGCAGAACAATGTGTGCTCTGGGCATCTCCCTGGGGTTTGAGGTCACTGTCCTGAATGCCAGTGCCTGTGTGGTGTCTGAACCCCATGTCATCTTACGAGGGAAGGGGCACAGGGAGGAGAGTGGGTGGCTCTGGTGTTGGGGCAGATGCGGATTGCTGATATCTCCTTTCCCAATCTCTCCCGCTGCTCTCGCTGGCCCCAGAGCTGCGCATCAAGCGGCAGAACTCCTCTGACAGCATCTCCAGCCTCAACAGCATCACCAGCCACTCCAGCATCGGCAGCAGCAAGGATGCTGATGCCAAAAAGAAGAAGAAGAAGAGCTGGGTGGGTTGGATGGGGCACTGACAGGAGGAGCGGGGCTTGGGGAGTCACTGGCACGGTCTGGCTGGGGTCAGCCCCATGAGCCAGCTGCTCTTGGTCTACCTTGGCATTGTGGTGCTGGTCCCCTCTGTCCTTGGGGGACAGCACTGGTGAGGAGTGCGTAGTCACCATGAATTTGTGTCTTGATGTGTCGTCTGGGACTTCTCCAGCCCTCTCTGGGAGTTTCCCAGCCCTGGTCTGCACGCTTGCTCCCTTTTTTCCCCCACGTCTCCCTTCTGCCCACATGGGGTCTGGCAGTGTAGGGGGCTGGACACCTTGCCCAGGCAGCTTCTTCCCTGTGCCAGGCAGCTCTGAGCTGGATGTGTGATTAAGTCTTGCTTTGTTTTGTTTCTCTCCCCCTATGCTGACCTCAACCCTTTTTTTCCAGGTGTACGAGGTAAGTCCTACGCCGTCCCTTCCACCCCATGCCATGCCCGGCCAGGGCCCTTGCTCCATTTTGTGGGACGGTGCTCATAACACTACCCATCCCATCCATCCCACTGGCGCTAACCCCCAGCACGGGCCACCCCGGGGCCCCCAGCCAGGCTGCACGCACCCTGGCTGCTTCCTTTGATGTTAAGGCCAAAATATGCACCTGCACGGAGGGGCTGAACTGCCCCGGATGGCCCTGAGGCAGCAGGAGGTGCTTGGATGGGGACCTCTCCCGCAGATGCGGACAGTCCCCTTCTTGCCTTGGGAAGGCAGGCACTCTCCTGACTCCCTGTAGCCAAATCTTAAGGGACAGGGACCTCACTGCCGCCCTGCCTGTGGCACCCGGGTGTGATGCTGCCTGTCTGCATTGCCAGGGTTGGCCTGATATGGCCCTGAGTGGCTCTGTTCCTGTTGGGACCCATGTGGGTCCCAGTGCTCCTCTGCTCTGCCATTGGCAGAGCCTGACACCCACCTGATTTTTTTTTTTTGTGTTTGTTTTGTTTTTCCTACACTGAAATGCAATGGTTTTGCTTTTGGGGACACCTCAGACCAGCCTGCCTGGTGCCTGGGGGAGTTGGGCTGGATCCTGCCCGTTCTCCATCCCCTCTTCCTCCCACCTCCCCTTGGAGCAGGCCCTGGCCCTTCAGGGGACATGATGTGAGCCCGGGCTGCCCGTCCTGCTGCTCTCCTGCAGGCTGGTGGTGTGTAAGTGTGACCCCGGCCCGGTTTGGCCCCTGCGCAGTGTCCATCCACCCTCCCTGGCCTTGGCACGCCGCTCACCCGTCGCTGCTCTGTGTGTGCTGTGTGCATGCTGCATGCCCGGCCGGGACCCCCGGTGACATTTTGCGGGGTGCTGGCTCTGCGCTTCCAGGAGGACCCCACAGGGCAGAGGGGGGGTTGTGGGGCTGAAATTCTCCCCTTGCACCAGGACCCCGGCTCTGCAGTGGCTGGAGGAGGGGATGTCCCCCCTAAACGCCACTTGCTGGGATGGCTGTGGTGGGGTGAACGTGAGTGTGGTGTTGGTCATTCCTCATGTGTCAGGGAGATGGTGCAGTGCCTGAACATCCTGATGTGGGTGCTGGGGGAGGAGGACTGGGGGGACCGTGACCAGGACGTGGGTCCCGCTCTGTGGGGCTGTTTGGTGCCGCCCAGGCTGGGGCTGGAGCGTTGCACAAAAGGCCGTGCAGTCCCATCCGCCAGCTGTGCCAGCAGAGCGGGGTCAGGCCGGTGCCTTCCCTGGGGCCATGATAGGGCACAGTCCTGCCTCGGTGATGGATATGGTATTACTGGTCCCAGCTCAGACTGTGGGACTTGGGCAGGCAGGGGCCCTGGGACAGGACCAAGTTAGGTCTGTACTTGCAAGGCTGCACTGTCAGGCTGTCCCTAACAAGAGCATTTCTGTCTCCCGTAGCTACGCAGCTCCTTCAACAAGGCCTTCAGCATCAAGAAGGGACCCAAATCAGCCTCGTCCTACTCGGATATTGAGGAGATCGCCACGCCAGATTCGTCGGCACCCTCCTCCCCCAAGCTTCAGCATGGCTCCACGGAGACCGCCTCGCCCTCCATCAAATCCTCCACGTCCTCCTCTGTGGGCATCGACACGGCTGAGTACGTGGGGCCAGGGTGGGTGGCATGGGGTGGGGAGAATTGGTCATGGGGGTTGCAGGCTTCTGCCTTGGACACGTGCAAGACTCAGTCTCTCCTTTGGCTCAGGCTTTTCCAGGCCCATGGTGAGGGTGAGCCAGAGAAGAAGGAGGTGTCAGAGCTGCGGTCAGAGCTGTGGGAGAAGGAGATGAAGCTGACGGACATTCGCCTGGAGGCCCTCAACTCAGCCCACCAGCTGGAGCAGCTGCGGGAGACCATGCACAACATGCAGGTGAGAACACCACTGCCAGAAGCCCATCTGGCTCCGAGCACCCAGGTGGCCACAGTCACTGCTCCCCCACAGCTGTGCTGCAGCCCCGGGATGCTGCTGGCATGCAGCTCCTCACCCTGTGCTGTAACTGGTTCTCCCCAGCTGGAGGTGGATCTCCTGAAGGCCGAGAACGACCGGCTCAAAGTGGCTCCGGGACCCTCGGCAGTGCCAGGCTCCGTTCCTGGCCATGTCACAAGCACATCAGCCTCCTCTTCACCACGGCGCTCCCTGGGTCTCACCCTTGGCCATGCCTTCAGCCCCAGCCTGGGGGACTCAGGTAGGGGTGATGGAGCTGCTAGCAGATGGGGAAGGGTTGGGACAGATGTGTGGGTTGGGACAGATGTGTGGGGTGGGAACGTGCTGCTGCTCACCTGGAGGCAGCTGTGCACAGGGATCTGTTCTGCTGCCGCTGCCACAGTCTGCTGCAGCAGGATTTGGCTCAGGCTGGGCATGGTCAGGCCTGGTGGCTTGGCTCTCCCTGCTGGCACGGCCTCACTGCTCTGTCCCTAGATGTGTCCCCCATGGATGCTGTTAGTGCTGGTACCCAGAAGGATGAGCTGACACTGCGGATTGTGGTGCGCATGCCACCCCAGCACATCATCAAGGGGGTAAGTGTGGACTGTATGGGGATCCTGACCTGCCCCAGTGCCATGGCCCTGGACAAGGGGCAGAGGACGCCTGTCCAGGGCTGGATACGGTGCTCCAACCAGCACACCTCTGCCTTGGCTCCTAGGACCTCAAG